TTCAATCTATAGATTGAAATCTCGCTTTGAAACTTGACATGTTTCGAATTCAATACAAAAATGTTACCCAAGAAAACATATATAGCTTCAAGAAAACGTATGATTTTCGGCCGATGAAACCAAGGGTCACTCTCCTTAGAGACTTGACCAAGTAATTGCTAATTTGAGATGTTATTTCCTCACACTGCCTTCAAATCAATAAGCAACGCAATTTATTTTATTTTTTTTTTTTTTTGAGGGAGCAATTTCAAAAATAATATTTCAAGATTTGATGACGATGTATTGTGATGTGGATATGAAAATTGTTAATTCTCACAGCGTGATAAATGAAAAAACGCGCAGGGAGCGAAATTACATCGAAGAAAAGCAATAATTAAAGAGAATACTAGATCGTAATCATATGATAGTAGAATTATTATAGTTGATTTTTTTTTAGAACCTTACGAAGAAAAGTGTAGCCTAATCGGCTAACGCGTTGCTATAAACGTTTCCACCCAATTCAAACCACCCGGGAGTAAGTTTCATTGTTCGTTGTATTTTCATTTCACAATTGAATTCTTAGAAAAAAAAGGGTTTTTTTTCGCAGGGTTTTTTAAGGTTGTAACGTACATGGCAACCGGTTAGGCGATTAGGCCTATTGAAGTGGCATAAAAAAAATGATGTCAGATATCTCGACATCAGTAAATCAAACTGCCATGCCCTCATCCAACATGTTACAGTGCGGTCTAGCTATATTATAGATTTTTCATATAATAAAGTGATTTTATTCGCAATCGGTTTTTTTTTTCGATATTGTAAGATGGAATCTTACAATATCTCCATTCTTAGAGCATAAAGCCATCACAATGAATAGTACTGAATTTCTAGCTTATTTGTATAGTTTACAACATGAGAGGCCGTGTTGTATGGGAATTACAATCTCGAGCCGCAGGCGAGAGATTGTAATTCCCATACAACACGGACGCGAATGTTGTAAACGACTTATAAAACTCCAACACAAATTAACATGAATCACAGTGAGATAAATGACGAAAAATGACAAATAAGGTAACTGCTGTGTTTAGTCCCTATTAAGCATGCGCAATTTACTGCAACACAGAACATTTTGAATAATTATCCATCCCACATGGAAAGCAAGCCATCTGTTGCATAAGCGAGTTCTGTTATCCGTCTTTGATTGCTTCAAAACCTAGTGAAGGTCTATGATGCGACACTAAAACTGAGACCTTTGCTAGTGTTGGGTTGTCTCAATGGTGACGACCGTGTTGTAAATCTGATACAACCACTAGTGGTTGTATCAGATTTACAAGGTCAATCACCTGATTAAATGGTCAGCCCTTATTTTGGAGCAATAGCTTATGCATTATTAATAAGTTTTATAATTAAAGATTAAGAGTTATTACATAAACGCTCAGAGATACGGATTTTATCTTCGAGTGCTGAAAAGGTCTCTCACTACTGAGCGTAGGGACCGAGTGAGAGGTATAAAGACGAGAAGATAAAATTCGAATCTCCAAGTGACCATGTAATATTTTCTTTATCACATAATTATCGATGAAAGCAAATAATGTTTTAAAACACCTTTTATTTACCTCCAATATATAGAGATACCACGAATGTGTTATTTTCACTTAACAACTTTAAGTAATGGAGAAGCATATATGATAAAGAGCTTCATTTTCCAACAAGAAACAAAAGCTCGAAAGGGATGCTGGCGCACCATGATCCGTCAAGTTCACATATCAAAAACCACAGAGAGCATGTTGCCATTTTTATATTTTTAAATACGGAGTGTCTAAACGTCAGGCAGTCGAATTTTTTCTTTATAAATCGTCGAAACAACCGTAATTTCAATTAATACAACAAGGGGAATGCAATAAAAGACCGAAATAATACCGTTCGCCAAGTTTCAAACACAAGCACGGCATTTTGAGATTTTTCGACTGCCTGATCGACGTTTAGTCCCAGAACTAAACAGCAGGCAGCAATTTTTCGTATGAAAAATCGTCGGAAATAACCGTAATTTCAATTAATACATCAAGCGAAATGCATTAAAGACCGAAATAATACTGTTCGACAAGTTTCAAACACAAGCACGGCATTTTGAGATTTTTCGACTGCCTGACGTTTAGTTCCAGAACTAAACGTCAGGCAGTCGATTTTTTTGTGAAAAATCGTCGGTTCAAACAAGGGAATGCACTAAAGACCGAAATAATACGATTGACAAGTTTGTATAGTCACAAGCCCCTGTCACAAGCACGGCACTTTGAGATTTTTCGACTGCCTGACGTTTAGTCCCAGAACTAAACGTCAGGCAGTCGACTTTTTTGTGAAAAGTCGTCGGAACAACTTCAATTTCAATTAATAGCACAAGATAAATGGAATAAAGACCGAAATAAGGTCTTGGGCAAAAATTAGCAGGGGGAGTGGAGGTGGAAGTTGAAAAGTGGGCACTGGGAATAGGGTGACCAACCATAGTGAGGAAGTGAAATTTTCTACTGATATTAGACGGGCAAAATATCGTGACCCTCCCCGTCCCCCTTCAACCATTACCAGAACAAGTTTTCATTGCTTCCAAGCATCCAGTGAATGGTGCAGGGCCTATAATTGGACCATTCTTTCTTCATTTTGAAGGGATAAGGGTTATGATATTTGATATGCAGTTGATAAGGACATTTAATGCATCTATTGTTCACTTTATACATTTGATATACTTTGTTTGTCTTTGTTGTTGTGGTTATTGAACCAAATAAAACACTTTTTTTATCTGTTTATACTGTGAACCAATTATTTTTATCATTAACTGCCTATCAAATATCCTAATAATTATCCCTTCAAAATGAAGAAACAATGGTCTTATTATAGGCTGCTGGGACAATGATAAATTGTTTTGGTAATGTTTGAAGGGGGACGGTCTGATACAGGAAGGGTTAGAAAATTTCACTTTCACAACTCTGGTTTGTCTGTATTTTTCAAAAATTTGACTGCCTGACGTTTAGTTCTGGGACTAAACGTCAGGCAGTCGAAAAATCTCAAAGTGCCTCGTGTTGGTGTATACAAACTTGTCGAACAGTATTATTTTGGTCTTTATTACATTTCTCTTGTTGTATTAATTGAAATTAAAGTTGTTTCGACGATTTTTCGAAAAACAAATTCGACTGCCTGACGTTTAGTTCTAGGACTAAACGTCAGGCAGTCAAAAAATCTCAAAGTGCCGCGTGTTTGCGTATACAAACTTGTCGAACAGTATTATTTCTGTCTTTGTTGCATTTCTATTGTCGTATTGAATTGAAATTACTGTTGTTCTGACGATTTTTCAAAAAACAAAAAACCGACTGCCTGACGTTTAGTTCTGGGACTAAACTTCAGGCAGTCGAAAAATCTCAAAGTGCCGCGTGTTGTGTATACAAACATGTCGAATAGTATTATTTCGGTCTTTATTACATTTCTCTTGTTGTATTAATTGAAATTAAAGTTGTTTCGATGATTTTCGAAAAAAAAATTCGACTGCCTGACGTTTAGTTCTRGGACTAAACGTCAGGCAGTCGAAAAATCTCAAAGTGCCGTGTTTGTGTTTGAAACTTGTCGAACAGTATTATTTCGGTCTTTATTGCATTTCCCCTGTTGTATTAATTGAAATTACGGTTGTTCCGACGATTTTTAAAGAAAAAATTCGACTGCCTGACGTTTAGTCCTGGGACTAAACGTCAGGCTGCCTGACGTTTAGACACTCCGTTTTAAATAATATAAGCCGGTCCGGCCTCTTCTCAATTATTCAGTGATGTTCGAGCGAGAGTAATAGTAAAAAGGCCACTAGAAGGAGCCGACGGGGTCTGTTCTTATAAATAACTGTTCTTGCACGAATTGTCTTCTGGGAAAGGGATTTTGAGCTGCAGTGTTGACAATCTCCCAAGCAAATGTGGCGCCTTCCTTCTTTAAAACTGTGTTCCTGCCAAACGTTTTTAAGGTTAAAAAAGGCTTATATTACGTTAAAAACGGCTTATTTTTTTAGTTAGGAAATTATTTTTTTTATTTTTTATTTTCCCGGCAAAAATTCCTAGAAAGTATTCCTTGGCCGAGAGTTTTTTTTCTTTTCCTGAATTTCTCGCTAGCTGGCAATCAGTTATGACTTACAGCTGGTTGGGACTTAAGAGCAGATATAATTTTCTCTCGGGAACCCGTTGACTCCTCCTAAAAGGCCGGTTCAAAACTCTTCGCCAATAAAAAATAGTGCATATAATCTTGAATATCTATTTACGCTATTCTTATAATATCAAAGTCAAGTCAACCAAATAATTTGCTATCGACCATATCCGAGACAAGGTGGATCCAAGATACTGTGGTTGATAATTTGCAAGATAATACCCTACAAGTGATTGGCGGACGATACAAATCTACGCGGTAATGAAGTATAGTGTGAACCCACCTATTAATAAACGAAGGCATTTCCTGCACTGTTGCGGAAAAAGTACACAAATATGTATATACAATAAAAATAAGGATATCGATATTTACAACAAGGAAAACATTTATCATTTGATTATCTATGAAATACCTTTATTCTCCATTTCGTAAACTTGATATTTTGACTAGTGAAAATATGGGGTTTCTCTATATATTGTGGGAGTAAGAAAAAAGGTATTTTACGACATAATTTGCTTTCATATACAATTATATGATAAACAGAATATTGCATGTCAGCTTGGAGTTACGAATTTTATCTTCTCGTGTTGAAAATCTCTCACTCGTTCACTACGCTCACCCGTGAGAGATCTTTTCAACACAACACTCGAAGATAAAATCCGTATCTCCGCGCGCCTACCATGTAATATCCTCTATCTATTAGCAGCACAACACGAAGGTCTAGCTCTCAAGCCACTTTGCGCGGATGATACGAAACCTTTCTGTGCAGCTGAAAAAAGTGCTTACTAGATATGCTAACTTTCGTCATTCATCTTTAGATGTTGTTTTAAGCACTATGAAACGCTAAGGTCTAGTTCTTACTGCGGAAGATAAGAAAATACAAGATCTTCCTGTGCATCTGCCAGCTGAACTACGGCAAAGAAATTACAAAAACTTAAAGATGTACATCTAAGTTATCACGATCTGTTTCTCTCGCCTAAACAGCAAGGTCTTGTTCACAAGACATGTTTTGAAATAAAATTCCCGAAGTACATATCTGTGATACCTGACTTATGCAATTCTTCGTTTTCAAGYTACGTCACAGCGGCCATCTTGGAGGAACTTCAACAAAGGATTCTGTATCTACATGTATTGTTCATTCCTCAAACATGGCCGCTGATCTTTTATCTTTTGAATCTCACTGGAATGGTTGAAAACGATCAATTCCACTTAAGAGTGACTTTTTGAAAACTTTTTCAACAAATGTTCAGAAGTGATTCCATGGCTTAAGTGCCCAAAAGAAAGAAATACATGGATTATTTGTAATTTACTGCACATGAGATTCTATTTATGAACATGGCCTAATAGCCATAAAAGGCGCCCTACAAAGACAAATTTCTATTTTCTGTAGCTTATTATCCAGGCTAATTTGCGAATGAGGCATTCGGCATCGTAGGGCAAAGGAGTCACGCAGTGATAGAAAAAAAATTCGGAGTGTCTAAACGTCAGGCAGTTGAATTTTTGTGTGAAAAATCGTCGGAACAACCGTAATTTCAATCAATACAACAAGGGAAATGCAATAAAGACCGAAATAATACTGTTCGACAAGTTTCAAACACAAGCACGCGGCATTTTGAGATTATTTGACTGCCTGA